TTGACTAGTCCAGTAAAATAGAATAATCTTTGGCAAGTCCAGTGAGGAAAAAAAGAGAGGTGGGGAGAAAGAGAGAGAGAAAAGACAAACAACATTAGGGCTCATGACTACAGAAATGGAGATTTTAACAAATGATAAAAGTATGTGTTCAAACCTGCAATAATAAATTTGAATAGCCACATGAAATATTTTATGAGAAACTATCAATTACCAAGATTGACTCAAGATCAAAATTGACCCAAGAAACCTCAACAGACCAAAAATTATAGTAGAAATTGGAAAGGTATTCCAGAAGCTATCCCCCAAATGGCATCAAGTCCAGATGGTTTTATAGGTGAATTCCACCAACCCTGCATTGAACGGAAAATCCCTATGATCTCTAACTTTTCCAGAGAATATAAAATTTTCCAACTCAATTTCTAAAGCCAGCATAACTCTGGTAACAAAACCAAACAAACAAATAGAAAAAGACAAAGCCCCTCAAAAGCAATCTACAAGCCACTTCTATTTTCTAACTTAGATGTAAAAGGTCTAAGTAAAATGTGAGCAAACCAACGTGGAATTATATTAAAAGAATAATTAATAATGGTCAAGTAATGTTAATCCCAAGCACTCAAAGATGTGAAATTAGAAAAAAAAAAAATTCAGAATATTAACATGTGAAGAAAGTGAAACATAGGATCATTTCAGTAGGTTCCAAAGCATATGAATCCCTTTTCTGTGTCTGCCAAAGCCTTCAATTTAGGAATATTTGGAGAAGCAGAATTGGCGTCCTATTACAAAACCTGAAACCACCAGATTTGCTCTCCCAGACTTCCTTGCAGCTGGGTCACAGAAGTATGACTAAGCCAACCGATACCCAGACTTTGAATCAGGAGCTGGTACCACAAAGGAGGAGGGGATGGTCCAGGATCCTCTCTCTGCGCAGGGAGGTTATGGTAACACCGAGTCTCTGGCTCAGCAGCTGGAGCAGTGCGGGCTTCAGTGATCTGGTCTTGGAGCGGGAGCGGAGTTTTGCTCACCAGACTGGTTCTGCAGCTTGATTCTGTTCCGGGCTACATAGTTCCAAAAGTCTGGTTCTCTGGCCTTTACTGGGAAGTCTGTAAAGTGGCCAATGTATGTTTAACAAATTCCCTTTCATCCTAAACTCGCCAGGATGTTTTTTGTTGCTTACAGCGAAAAACTCTGATACCAATACACCAACAATCAGCAGATCCAGGGGCCCCACTCCACCTCACGGCCTCTCTCTCTCTCTCACACTTCCTGATGCTTGATTCCTTGTTTTCTCCATGTTCTCAAGTACTTTTTGCAGTGGGCAAATTATATAAATGGCAAATGTACGGATTAACTGCATTGGGCTCATGGTGAAAGGAGTAGACGGGCAGACTCGTGTGGTTGCGTGACGCCCCTGCTGGGGGACAGCTGTTGGGGCATTTTGATCATTAGAAGGGGTGGTGGACCAACAGACATGGTAGCTGACTCTCCGAAATACGCACCTCATTTGGTCTTGGGAAGTTTTGTTTTGAAGTAATCTCTATGCCCAACGTGGGGCTCGAACTCATGACCGCAAGATCAAGAATTACATGCTCCACCGACTGAGCCAGCCAGGTGCCCCAAGTCTTAGGAAGTCTTAAAAGGCTTTCCAGAGGAAGATATTCTGGGCTGGGACTCTCCAGATAAGTAAGGGTTGGGCAGAAGGGGGTGAGGGGTGAGAAGAGAGCCCAGGCACAAGAAAGAAATAAAATGATCTACTAGAGTGAAAGGTGGAGTGCTGAGAGATGGGGCTGGACAGGTAGGCAAGGGTCAGATCATGCAGGACCCTCTAGGCCATGTCAGGGATCTCAGAGCTATAGGGAGCCCCTGATGAGTTTCAAACAGTGGAAGGATATGAACAAATCTGCAGTTCTGGAGGACCATTCCAGTGGGGGATGGGGAGAAAGGAGGTCAGGGCATCAGGAGACCAGCTGGGAGGCTGTTGCAGTGAAGCCGTAGAGAAGAGCTGGTGTCCTGGACTGGGAATGGTGGCAGTGGGGATGGAAAGAAGTGGATTTCAGGAGAGATTAGGAGGTAAAATCAGCAGGACTTGGTGACAGGTTGGATGGGGGAGGAGGAGGGAAAGAGTTAAGGATGACCACTGGGGTTTCTGTTTGTATTGACTGAGTGGCTAAATGGGCGGATGATGGTCCCATTCACTGGGTTGGACAACACAGGAGGGTTAGCTATTTGGAGAGAGATGATGAGCTTAGTTTTGAACATATTGTTTTAATGCTTGTGGGACATCCAAGGAATCCAAAAGGCAGTGGGACCTAGGTGTTTGGGTCTCTGGAGAGGGGTCTGGGTCTGAGTAGAGGTGAGTCACTGGGGTGGGTGTATGGTGCTTGACAGCAAGGAAATGAATGAGGGTAATGTGAGGTGTTTGTGTAGCAGAAGAAAAGGAGAGGACCAAAGACCAAACTCCAGGGGCAGGCTGACTTTCCATGAAGGACAGAGGAAGAGGAGTCTACGAAGACTGAGAAAGGTCAGCCAGAGAGGTAAGAGGGAGGTGGTGGCATGAGTCCCAAGACGGGAGAGGCCGTGGGTATGTAGGCTGCAGAAAACAGGATCCTAATGGAGATGTGTCCGGTGGGTGTAGAGGGGTGGGGGACACTGGTGACCTTGGCCACAACGGAGCCAGTGGGTGGGGGGAACCATGCTAGAGAGGGAGAAAGGCAGAGGGCGGTAAGGGTTAAAATTGGCAAGTGGGAAGGGCGAGTGAGTGGCAGCTGGGGAGGTTTAGAAGCCGGGGGACGGTGGTGGTTGGAGGAGTCCACTCCCAATCCGTCCTGTGTAGATGGAAAGTGGGAGAAGAGAGCCACAAGGAGGGCTGGGGACGGTTGTGGAAGGAGGTGATAAGGGCCTGTGTCCGGGAGGGACACTGCTCCCAGGTCACAGGAGGGAATCTCTATCAGGCTGGCACTTCCTCCCCATCCCCATCCCCTTCCTGCCCCTGCCCAGGCCCTCCCTGGAGCTGGAGAGAGAGGACAGAGTCACACCCTGCGAGCAGCTCTGTGCCCTCGGAGGTCCTCCTGCCTGCCTGTAAGCTGGAGTTGGGGCTGGGGGACAGGGCCGCTGAGGGAGGGAGAAGAACCTAGGACGTGGGGCTAGCAGTTTAGGCTTCTGGGGGCAAGGGCGGGAGAGGGCAGTGGGGAGGACAGGAGTCCGGGGGCTGCATTTCTGGAGGGATCCCCGAGGCTGCAGCAGGGGCTAGAGTCTGGAGGAATAACGCCCAGTGCCCACGAGGTGCCCACGCGTGTCCCCGTGACCCCCAGGTCCCCATGCCTCTCCTCCTGTTGCTGCTTCTGCTGCCGCGCCCCTCACACCCCCAGTTGGTCTGTGAGGTCTCCAAGGTGACCAGCCAGCTGGAAGTGAACTGTGACAACAGGGGGCTGAAGGTGCTGCCTCCAGATCTGCCCAGAGACATGGCCATCCTTCACCTGGGCGAGAACCCCCTGGGCACCTTCTCCACAGCATCCGTGGCGTCTATGACCCAGCTTGCGGAGCTGTACCTGCGTCAAAGCCAGCTGACCAAACTGCAGACGGACGGGGCACTGCCACGGCTGGAGACCCTGGACGTCTCCCACAATAAGCTGAAGAGCCTGCCCTTTCTAGGACGAGCATTGCCAGCCCTCACCACCCTGGACGTCTCCTACAACGAGCTGACCGCACTGTCTCCTGGTGCTCTGGACGGCCTGAGCCGGCTCCATGAGCTCTACCTACGCGGCAACAAGCTCAAGACTCTGCCCCCGGGGCTCCTGAGGCCCGTGGCCCAGCTGAGGAAGCTCAATCTGGCCGACAACAAGTTGAACGAGCTGCCCCCGGGGCTCCTGGATGGCTTGGCGGACCTCGACACCCTCTACCTCCAAGGGAACTGGCTGCGCACCATCCCAAAGGGCTTCTTCGGGGACCTCCTCCTGCCTTTCGCTTTTCTCCACAACAACCCCTGGGCCTGTGACTGTGAGATCCTCTATTTCAGCCGCTGGCTGCAGGACAACTCCAATAACGTCTACTTATGGAAGGAGGGTGTGGACGTCAAGGCCATGACTCCCAACGTGGCGAGCGTGCGATGCGTCAACTTGCACAACACACCAGTCCACACCTACCCAGGGAAGGGCTGCTCCATTCTCGGGGATGGGGTTGACCTAGGCTATGACGACTACGACGAAGAGGAGGAAGTGGGGAAAGTACCCGCCACCAGGGCCGTGGTCAGCTTCTCCGCCAACACCACAGCCCACACAACCCACCGGGCCCCCCTCCACTCAGCACCCACTGCTTCTCCAGACCGCCAGATGCCCCATCTGTCTTACACCCTTGAGTCCACGAAGAAACAGAGCAGATTCCCAACCGCCCCAGAGCCCAGCACGTCCAGCACGCCCCATCCCCCGTCCTCCACCATGCCCCACTCCACAACATCCACCATGACCATGACCACCCCAGAGCTCAGGCTCCCCACCAGCCTG